AGTGGGAAAACATGAGCCGTTACCATGAGAGGTCTGCTCTCAAGATCTGGGAGAATGTTTTTTCTTCTTCCTCTGGCAGCTTCTTGGCATCTACACAGACGTGCCTCTGGAGCTGTTTGGGAGCCTGAAGGAAAAAACAGACCCTTCACCTTTCCCAGCAGCCTCCTCTGATTATTTCCTTCCCAAGGCCCGGAGCAGGCCCAGCCTGGGGGGGACAGGAAGTGGGGCGACCTCCAGGCCGGCTCGAGGTGGCGAAGGGCAGGACTCAGGGAGCCGTGCTTCCTGTCCAGGGGCCATTTCACACCTCGGGACCCACGCCCGGCTGGATCAGGTGGCAGCGCACCACCCGGCACAACCAGGACGCCTTCGCTGGAGTTTTTAATGAGTTTTAACCATCCAGCTAATCAGCTTTCTTGGCTCAGAAGTGATGGCTGGGAATGCTTGTTTATGCTTTAAATCAATCAATGAGGCTCCACCAGGAGAGGAGGTGGGCACGCAGCCCCGGCGATGCCCTGCGTGGGCGAGCGAGTGCTCGGGCCTATTTTTGGTGAAGCTGGTTCAGTGCTGGAGCCGATGGGATGCATGGCGCAAGGAGGGAACCAGAGAAGCCGGGGGGGGGGGGGGCGGTCAGCGTGGCCAATGCCAGCTCTGGGTGGGGGGAGGACTAGGTTTTCCACTGGACACATGCTCCTTGGGTTATCAAGTCCTCAGAGTCATCACCCCTTTGTGCGCCCGTGTACAGAGCTGAGAGCGCCTTCATTCCCATCTGAGGGAGCTCCAGGTTTCCAGGGGTGACAGGTGACAACACCAGCAATGACAGCAGGCTGTCACGTGGCTGCTAGGGGAGGGGACGCAGGGCTGCGGCGTCCTGAGGACAGCCTTTCATCCGCACAAGGTGGAGGGGGAGAAAGTAGCCAGGGGTGGCTTTCTGGACGGAACCACAGCTCAGCTGAGCCCTGAATGGTGGAGAGCAGGGGTGGGGGCCGTGTAAGGCCCTCGAAAGCATTCGGGCTGGCCCTGCCAAGGCATTGGGGAGAGTTAATTAAATGCTTGACCAAATACAGCTGGCTGATGTTTAAGTCGACAATGGTGTCTGGCCCACGAGTGATGTTACAGATACCCACGTGGCCCGTGGTGGAAAAAGGTACCCCCCCCCCTGCCCCGCTGCAGAGCATGAGCTCGTGAAGAGGCCGAGCGAAGAGGACACGTGTGCAGCCTTAGCCTGGGTGGTGGTCATAGAGGCATCCCCAAGGCCAATCCCGAGTCGTGCACAGTAAAACGAAAGCGTGCTCCAGGCAGAGGGCATGGCCTGTGCAAAGGCCCGGAGGTGAGGAGAACAGACGGGCAGGCGTTCCCCCTCTGAGAGGCAGCTACACACGGGGAAGCAGCGGCGCGCGGCCGTGCACTTGGGGATCCTGTGGCCCACCCCCTCGTCCACTTACAGGCTGTGGAACTACAGGCAAGTTTACCCTCTGAGCCTCAGTTTCCCTGTCTGCACATCTGCCTTCCCTGGAGGAGGAGGATGAAGAGTCCCCCCGAGTGCACGCAGAGAGCTCAGCACAGAGCCTGGTGCTCCGGGAACCATGTCTGCCAGCACCGGCCTCTGCTCGCCCTTCTCATGGTTTCCAGACGCGAGCCTGCAGGAAGGGCCCACCCTGATCCTCAGAGAGGATCCAGGACCCAGGTGGGGGTGCTGGTGCTCAGAGAGGGAACGTGACTTGCCAGAGGTCCCGGCCTGGGAAGAAGTGAGACCAAGATTTAACCCCGAGCTGTGGCTCAGTGACCAGACATGCGGCTGTGCTTAAAGCAGGGCCAACCACACTGACCACCAAGCCGCACCCCCACCAAGACCCTTACGTGAGGCGCTTGCCCAAGCTGCGCCCTGGCTGTGCTGGTCCTCACCTCACGGCTCTCGCTCACTGTCCTCAGCAGGGCCTTGCAGTTGCTGCTCCTTCTGTCCGAACGGCACCTTCCACGGATCATGTGACTGGCTCCTCCTCATTTGGGTTTCCGTTCCATTACCACCTCCCTCCTCAGAGCGGCCTCCTGTCCACCCTAAAGAAGTGCGCCCCTGCCCCTCCTCTGACCCCCACGCTCCCAGAGTGTCTTGTTCCCAGAGCTCGGTACTTGGGAGTTGATTTGATTGTACTGTGTGTCTCCCCTCAGGAACAGCAGCCTCTCTGGGTCACGTCTAACTCCCCCATCCCTGGTCCATAAAGCCTGGCTGACCAGGTGGAAGTGCTCAGACTGTGTGGGCCCCTTCAGAGGACTGGGGGCAACTTTCTAGTTACTTCCAGCTCAGAGAACGGAAGGCACTCATCCTGCCCTCAGACCTCAGAACCCGTTCCGGAGCCACCATCTGCCTTCCTCCGCCGGGAGGTGGAATCCCAGTTCCGGCCAGCAAGGGGGGACGCTGCCTCAGCCACGCCCAGGGGAGCCGGGGAGCAGGAACACTCAGCATGTCACCCCTCCCCCACCAAGAGCAGCCCCAGGAAACTGACAAGATTCCCAGCATGCTCTGCGGCTCCACCACCTGTCAAACCCACAACCAGCCGAATTCCCCCAGCTTGCCTGCCTGCCCGCCTGCCGTGGGGGCTGCCTGAGAGATGGGGCCACTGGTGGCCAGCCCACCCTTCTGGGAAAGCTGCTAGCCACAAAGAACCCCACTTCCACCATCCAGATACAAGACAGTGAGAGGCGACGAGAGGGCACTAAAATCGGAGGAAAGCCAAGCAAGGCCAAGGGGAATCCTACCTCCTCTCTCTCGTTACCCTGGGGGTTGACCTGGACTTTATAAAACATTTTGAAGGAGTGAAATATTCACATGTGGTTCAAAATGAAAATATAACTAAGTTTACAGTGAAAAGCTCACTCCCCCTTATCCTTTCCACCCAATGCCCCATAAATGTTCATTATTCTTACTGCCTATCGGTCCTTCCAAAGTCCTTGGTGCAAATTAAGCATTTACAAATATATACTCTTATCCCCCCCCTTTTTTACAAAGGGGTTCCATATTATACATCCTATATAATAAAAGGCTACTACGCAAATCGACCAACCGGCAGAACAACCAGTCGCTATGACATGCACTGACCACCAGGGGGCAGACGCTCAATACAGGAGCTGCCCCCTGGTAGTCAGAGTGCTCCCATAGGGGGAGCGCCACTCAGCCAGAGCCCTGAGCCGGGCTCACCACTGGCTGTCGAGCAAGGGGGCGGCAGTGGTGGTGGTGGTGGTGGGAGCCTGTCCCACCTCCGTGGCAGTTGGACATCTCCTGACAGCTCCCAGACTGCTAGAGGGCACAGGAGGGGCTGAGGGGCTCCCCCACCTCCCCCCCACCACTGCATGAATTTTATGCACTGGGCCTCTAGTATATATATATATAACCACACCTTTTTTTCCTATAGATAGTTCTGTATTTGCGCACTGAAGATGTATACATATGTATGTATGTGGACGTGTGTGTACATACACACACACACACACACACACACACTCTCCAATTGTTAAGGGGTTTCTGTCATTTCCATTCAATTATCGTGAAAGGGGTGTTCAGACTGAGGGTCAGGAGTCGTCTTTCAGCCCACACACAAACGGCTGGTTTCCTCCCATGACTGACTACGGACACGGGCTGTCCGCACCGAACGCAAAGCAGGTGCCAGGAGCCAGCTCCTCAGAACTAACACCTGCAGCTCCGGCTCCTGGAGCATCTAGAATTAGATTCTAAGCAGGTACTGGCAGACATCCCGCTCCAAGGAGCAGGAAACCGCGGCTCGGCGAGGTAAAATGACTCGCCCAAGGTCACACCGCCAGGAAGGAAGTGGTGCAGGCAGCGTTGCTCCCATCTGTCCACCTCCAAAGCCAATCTGAGGCTCACCCGGCCTCCCTGGGCTCCGGACCACAAGCCTCTTCACAGCCGGTGGCGGACCCCGGCCCCGCGAGCCCGCGGTCAAGTCTGCAGCCCGGCTGGGCTGGGCTGGGGCGGGCAGGCGCTTCCGCCCCGCAGGTCCCTGCGGTCACCTCGGCCGCCGGCTCCCCGTGCGCCCCGCCTCTGCGGGTCCCGGAGTCCCCGCGACTCGAGGAAGGTCGCCGGGCTCCGCCAAGTGCTCTGTGGACGCGGCCTCGCTGACACCTGCCAGCTGCCCCGGGGCGTGCGCCCACCTGAACCCACTTCCCAGCGGGGAGAACGAGGCCAGGGCCCGGGTCCCACCCAGCTGCGGCCGATTTCAAAACTTTCCGCCCCTGCGCAACGCGGCCAGAGGACTTTCTGGTACCTGCGCGCCAGCTGGGCGTAGCCGGGCGCTCGCTCTCCCGGCCCGGGCGCCTGCCCCGCGCGGGGGATCCCCGCCCTGCACCAACCCCCGCCCCCCAGCCCGCAACCCCCAGGCCCGGGGTGACCCGCCAACTTGCGGCCAGGATGCGCGCCGCGCACTTCTCAGCATCCCCGCCGGGCTCCCCGCCGCAGCCGGCGCGTGGCGGCCGGAACCCCTCGGAAGGCAGCGGAGGCTGAGCGCAGAGAGGTCCGGCCACCAGCCCAAGGTCACACAGCAGCGGCGCGGGGCCGGCCGGCGGCGGCGGGCTGGGGTTCCCCACGCGAACCCGCCGGCGGCCCCCGCCCGTGTCCCCGCGCCCACGCCCCGCGCGACACTCACAGCCGGTCTTGCCCACGAGCTCCCGGATCTCCTCGGACGCGGACTGGGCAGCGCCCATGGTGCCCACGGCGGGGGCTCCGGGGCGCGCGTCCCTCACAGGCCCTGGGCGGCGTCGGTGGCGCAGCGGCCGGTCCGGCCTCGGGTTCCAGGCGAGTCGGGACGCCGGGGCCGGTCTGAGCCGCGGGTTCCGCGTGGGGCGCGAGCGCGGCCTCTTATAGCGGCGAAGGGCGGTGCGCCGCGGTCCTAGCGCGCGCCGGCTACGCGCACAGCGGGGAGCGGGGAGTGGGGAGTGGGGAGCGCCCCGCCCCGGGGCCGGGAGGGCGGGGAGGGACAGCGGAGCCCACCTACCAGGTCCTTCTGTCCCCGCAGCCGCCGCCCTGCAGGTCGAGCCTCGCCCCTTCCTCGCGGCTGCGGTCTCTGGCCAGACGCAGGTGTGAGCCGGGGCCGTCAGACCCCCGGAGGCTCCGTGCTCACTCCCACCGGGTGCCGCCACACAGCCTCCCGGTGTCGGAGCGGAAACTCGCCTGGATCGGCGAGGGAGGCCGGCAGCGTCCATTCGCTCAGTGGCGAGCAGCTACAGGTCCAGCAGCAGCAGCCACCTTGAATGCACCAGGTGCCGAGCTTGGCTTGTTCCAGGAAAGCCCCTCCCCGCTCCCAGCACCTAATGAAGTGGACACGCCCGCGGGCTAGCCCGCCCACCACAGCCACACCGCACCGCAGCTTGGCGTTGGGGGTGCCCCAAACTTTAGGAGCGGGAGATCTGCCCCCACCCCTCCCCGCCGCCCCCATTCTGACTCCTGCGGGGCCGCATTTCAGACAAACTGCCAGAGATGCCACGCTGTGGTTCCCAGGTCAGCAGGGGTTCTGTGTTAAGATGCTCAGAGGGGTGGGGTTCTGTGGTCAGTCTGGGCCATGCGGGCTCGTCCTGCCACCTGTCTCACCAGGGATCCTTCTCCTGAAAACGGGGATAATCTAGGTAGAGAGGCCCGTCAGAGGGGCCGCATGAGACGCAGCTCCACGAGGTCTCAGTGGAGTCCTGTCCACTTTGTAATCGAGACACTGTTTCTCAGAGAGGTGACACAGGAGAGCTGCCAATCAAAGTCCAGACTTCCAGGTTCTCAAACTCAGGGCTCCGGGGCGCTGGGTGATGGACAAGGCCATCACTGGTGGGCATGTGTGCAGTCCTGGGTGCCAGGCTGTGCGGTGGTGCTGGGGGGGGCAGGGTCCCCCAGTGCTCACAGGGATTTGGGTGGTGCTGAGGAGGGGGTGCCCTCGCTGCAGGCCACAGGCCCAAGCCAGGGGTCACAGTCCTTTCCAGGGACAGGTGCCTTTCAGAGCCACCAGGAGCTCCTGAAACCTGCCCAAGCAGCTGCCCGTTACTCTGTGGACCCCAGAGAGGGGCAGCTCCTGGAATGTGCATTTTCATTTTTTGTTTTTTAATGTATTTTTATTGATTTCAGAGAAGAAGGGAGAAGGGGGAGAGAGAGATAGAAACATCAATGATGAGAGAGACTCATTGACTGGCTGCCTCCTGCACACGCCCCCGCTGGGGATGGAGCCCGCAACCCAGGCGTGTGCCCTTGACCGGAATCAATCCGGGACCCTTTGGTCCGCAGGCCGATGTTCTATCCACTGAGCCAAACCAGCTTGGGCTGGAACGTGCATTTTTAAAACACCCGCAGGTGGTGCTGAGACCTAGCCGGGCTGGGACATGTTGGCTGTCAGACGCCAGCTGGTCTCAGTGGCCTAGGAAGCTGGCCTGGAGACTGCATGTTGGGTCAGAAGGAATCTAGAAGCCTAGACAGGCGTTGGGTTAGAAAGGGGGATCCCAGGCCCCTTGGGAATGACCCACAACTGCTGGGAACGATTTTATTCTGACTTAAAACATCAGTTCCTGGAATGTTATGGTATTAAATTATTCAAGGGGTCAGTGATGAGCTTTCTGCTGGGGCATAGAAAACGCGTCCTCAGACTGCACCTCCTCCCCTTGGCAGGCTGCTCCCGGAGCTTGCACGTGGCTGGGCCCTGCGATGGTGCTGGGGACAGGATGGCTTCGCTCTGCCCTTCAGCTGATCGGAGAGCCCCCACACACCCGTCTATGCCGTCAGCTTTGCCTCAAGGCCCAGTGGCCACTGTCAGCTCCCAGAAAGCACTTGCCCTGGTTCCTCTGCCCGGAACTCCCTTCCCCTCCCTCTTCCTATGGCCGGGGCTTCCTCTTCAGATCTCAGGGTAATCACTTCCTCCCAGAGGCCTCCCAGGGTGCCCACCCACTCTCCGGGTCTGCTGCCACACAAGCCACCTTAGCCAAGGGAAGGCTGGGTGTGAGGACCGAGGGGGACTGACTCCTGATGGCGGGGCCTCCTTGTGGCAGCGGGAAGGGAAGGTGCCAGCGCCAAGGCACAGCTGTGGGCCCCTTCCTGCCTCCCCTCATTGGCTCCCTGCACATTCGTGGGGGGCCTGATGTGTGTGCTCAGGCACGGCCTGGGTCCAGGCGCCACTTCTAAGGAACTCCCCGAGGAGTGGGGACACTGACACCCTGCAGGTGACCGCCCCGCGGGGTAAACAGGCCCCTGGAGACCTGTTAGCCCTGCAGCTGAGCTTTGGGGAGTCCATGACTGTCCCCAACTGTGGCAAACACTGGGGCCCTGCGGAGACACCCAGCCCTCCCTGGGCTTTGCCCCTTCTCTGGCACAGATGCACACACGCAGCGGGCGTGGCACACCAAGCCCTTGGCGCCGTGCCAGGCTGTCACGGCTCTAATTCAGTCTCACCCGTGGTTCTGCTGGCGTCACGGAGGAAGGAGGTCTGAGCGTCCCTGGGCTCTGGCTGGGCTGATTGGATCTGCTGTCTGCCGCCCCGCGTGGGGGGCACCCCGTGTGGCGATCTTTATCCTGCGCCACAGCGTGACCTTCTGAGAGCTGGGACATACTTTGGTCACCAGGCAACTAACCTCGTCTCTTGGTCCGGAGGAGCTGATTAAAAACCGCGGCCGTGATGATGAGAACGGCTGGAACCCGTGGGGCCACAATGGGCAGCTGAGCCAGACGGCGAGAACAGTCTGCGTTCGCGCTCTCGCCTTCCTGTCAGGGAAGGCCACTGAACCACACTCCCGCCAGTGGCTTCACCTGTTTCCCCATCTGCAAAACGGCAGTAATCATGGTGGTTGTCAAGGTTAAATGTAAATTCCTGTACTAGTATGTAAAGTGCTAAAACAGTGCCTGACCGGCTAAGAGCTCCCCATGGTGTGCTGGCAAACAGGCCCTGAAGACGGGGGAGAAGGCCGGCTTGCAGCATTTACTGACTGATTTCCTGGTATAAACATGCTCACTGTGGGCAGTTTCACGCAACCAGTCATGTAACAATCTGGGCTTGCGATGCTCCTGCATGTGTAACACTTTGCTCTTACAAGCTTCTGAGACAACTGCGGGAGACTGTTGTCCTCATTCACTCATTCATTCATTCATTCATTCATTCACACACTCACTCACGGCTCAGTGCCGGGAATTCAGACTGCAGTGAGCCGTCAGTCCCTGACCTCAGGGACCCCAGAGGCTGGAAGGAAAGAGACATGAACACACCATCACTAAGGGGCACAGCAATGGGTCCCAGCTGCTGTGGGAGCCTGGAGGAGGACCCAGCACACACCCATGTTATGGATGGGAAGACCAAGGTGTTTCCGAATGGGCCGTAAACCAGAATCCGAGTGCAGAAGTGAAGCTGGGTAAATGGCGGTTCCTAGCATCCTCCCGGCTCTCTCCCCGGTCCCTCTAATCACCGGGCTTGGGGGTGTTTCTAGGGCTGGGCAGCAAGACACCTTTAATCTTGAGGCCACTGATCCAGGGGATTTACGGGGCGCTAAGTGCTATCTTGCCCAGCCTCTGACTTAGAGAGGCCCGCACCCAAACCACTTCACACAGTGAGGATGAGTGATGCTCTCGTGAAATACACCCAGGGAGGGGGACGCCACAGGTGCCTCACCTCTGTCTCAACTCCAACACGGACAGCTTTTCTCTTAGCTCCTTCAGGCTCTGATGCTGGTCTCATATGTCCTGGTCTCTTGGTTTTAATGTGAATGCGACCAGAAAAGCAGCACCCCCAATTCGCATCTTGAATTAAAGTTATATTTTTAAGAATGCTTTCTCACCCAAGGCACCTGGGGGGCAGCGTTGGCAGGAGACAGATTCTGACCTGAGTTGGATCGGCTCTGCCATTCCTGGTTGAGTCCTTGGGTCGGTCAGTTTGCCCCTCTGAGCCTTGGCATCCTCATCTGTATAATGGGTCCACAATCCCATCCCTGTAAAGAGGATTCAGCGAGGGTTCCGTGGCTGGCAGAGCACAGCCTCCACACTGTCCATCCCCTCCTCGGAGGAAAAGATCCAGGACTTCCCAGCCAGGCTCTCTCCTCTCTCTGCGAGCCCTCTCTTCCCACGATACCGGGCAGGACAGAACCACCCTCGACCTGTCCAGCCCCCGCTGCTTAGGAAATTACTTTGTCTTAGGAGAGTGATTTCTGCCATGAGGTTTTAGAATTGCCCCCCTCCCACTGCAGCCCAGCATCTCGTCTCAGCCCAACTGCAGAGGGAGAGACAGATCCCCAGGGAGCCGGGGGGCAGGGGGGAGGGCTGGCTGCCTAAAATAGGAGACCAGGCTCCCTGGGGAGTGCGGCCTGCGCGTGTTTTCCTATTATTTCTTTAATTATAAACAGGGAATTATTACGGGAACTTGCAGGGGGCAGATAGAAGGGTGTCTCTGAATGGACTTCAAACTGCATCATTGTCCGGGCAGCAGACTCGCCAGAGCAGCAGGAGGAGGTGGCAGGAGCCCCAGAGCTATTTTGACTTCGCCATCGCTTTACATGGAGTGGCCGAGGCAGGCTCTGCAGAGGGCGGGGCAGTGGAAGGGGCCGTGGAAGGGGCTGGTCGTAAGCAGTGTTCACAGGGTTTGCTGGAGCCTCTTTTCAGACCCAAATGCAACCGCCCTGGGCGGGGCGCCAGGCGGGGACACTTGATTTACTCAGCAGCTGTGATGTGGGGAGAGGCGTCCCGCACCATGAAGCAGCAGGACTACGTTTCGTCACATGGAAGACAGAGTCAAGGTTGCAAAGCAGCTGACTGTGAGGTGGGGCGGTCACTTGGGTCATCCGGAGGGCCCAGGGTCAGCCCAAGGGTCCTTCGTCGTGCAAGAGGAAGGCAGGACGGTCAGAGTCAAGAGTGATGTGAGGGGACATGGGAGGGGCCAACCAGCCACTGCTGGCTTTGGGGGAGGAAGGGGCCTGAGTGGAGGAACGCGGGCAGCTTCTGGGAGCTGGAGAACGCCAGGGGGTGGATTCTCCCGGGAGCCTCCAGAAGGACGCGGCCTGTGACTCCCTGACATTAGCCCAGGGAGACCCGCTTCAGGCGTCTCACCCCAAACTGTGACATCATATATTTGCTTTAAGCCACCAAGTTGTGGTCATTTGTCCAGCAGCCCTCGGGACTGATAGGGGCTGGGTTTGTACTTGTCAAACCCCAGTGCCAAGGAAAAGTTGCTGACAGACTGTCTCCCTAGAGGGAGGGCTGGCTCTTTAAGATCTGTGTGTGTGCAAACCTCCTGGAGTTCTGACTCAATTCCGATTCCTGGGCCTGGGCAGGTTCGGACTCAGGAGGCCCAGGACTGTCTCTCCAGCTGTTTCGAATGTAGGTGGTCCTTTTGGGGGGGATGCATATTGAGATATAATTCACATATCATACAGCGCCCCCGTTTAGCGTGTACGACTCAGTGGTTCTCAATATCCTCACGGAGTTTGCGACCATCACTACAGTCAATTTTAGAACATTTTCATCATCACAGAAAAGAAACCCGACTCCCTTTACCCGACACCCCTCAGCCCCCCCACCCCCCCTTCTATCCGGCCCCGAAAACCACTCGTCTGCTTTCTGTCTCTGGAATCTGCCTTTTCTGGACATTTCACATAAATGGAATCACACAGCACGTGGCCTTTTGGGGCTGGCTTCTTCCCTTTCATGTGATGCCTCCAAGGTTCATCCGTGTGGGAGCGGGAGCAGTGCTTCCTCACTGTTTACGCCTGAGTAATAGTCCACTGTCTGGAGGGACCACGCTGTGTCCATCCAGGCACCTGGCTGGGCCGTGGGCTGTTTCTGCCCTCGGCTGTTGTGAGTAGCGCTGCTAACGCACTGGTGGCCGGAGCCCCGGTGAAGGCCATGCCGAGGCGGAGGGCACGGGGCCCGGCGCCATCCTCCCTTCTCTACACCTTCCCTCCAAAGCAGGGGTTGGGGCGGTGAGCGAGGGAGCCCCCAGAGGGGAGGGTGTCTGTGCAACCACACGCTGCCCTGACAGCGTCTCACTGAGCCGTCACAGCCACACGGCAGCTGATGGGCAAATTAGGGCTCCCATTTCGCAGATGTGGAAGCTGAGGCTCACAGGGGCTCAAGTCACATGATCAAGCTCACCGTTAAGAGGCAAAAGAGCCCCAAGCCCCGAACCAGCGATGCCTCCTGTAAGCGTCTGTCTCCACCAAAGGTTACATGGCTGGCAGAGAGAGAGAGAGAGAGAGAGAGAGAGAGAGAGAGAGAGAGAGAGAGAGAGGGAGAGAGAGAGAGAGAGAGAGAGCGCGCAAATGGAAAATCCACTTCTTCCATCTGCTGAGCTCGTTTGCCACCACTCTGCCCTGCTGCCGGGTAGTGACCTGTGTGTGAGCACTGGCTGTGTTAACGCCCCCGCCCCCCGCCCACAAGTCCCAGAGCACTGTGGGTGCGCTCTTCACACCCCATTGTAAGAACAAGGAGCTGAGCGCCCAGGAATGTGCACTTGTGACAGGGATCCAAATCGTTTCTGATGCAGGTCGCCCGAGGACCCCACACGAAGAAACGGCGCCACCCCAAAAGTCTGGGGCAGAGGAAGGGGGCTGGGTGTGCTCACATGACACCCCTTCAGCAAGTCCCCCAAACCCTCTGGTGAAAGGTGTGGCGGGCTGGCGTCCAGGACTGTGCGGGGTGTTAGAGGCCCTTTGGACGGAGTCGCTGGCTTCTCATAGCCCCGGCACCTGTGGTGACGGAGTCCACACCTGGGAGACCCCTCCCAAAGGGCCACCTCTGTGGCCACAAACGAGCGCGGACCCTGAGGAAGGCCAGGTTCTGGCTCATTCTCTGCTGTCATTCACTGTCCCTGGCTGCCTGGCCTGCGGGAGGCCGCCTCCAGTGTGCAGCAGGTGACCTCAGGGACCACCGGGCAGCTGTCAGCAGGGCAGTGCCACTGGCCTGGCTCAGCTCAGCACCCCAGCCAGAGGGTGAGGATGGGGGCGGGCACAGCCATGGCCCCCTCTCCCTTCTCCCTTCACGCCTGGGACGCCTGTGGTAGGGCGAGACCCGGCCAAGTGCCTGCGAGGCAGGATGATAAATATATGTTGGGGTTCAGAGCTGGCGCAGTCAATAATTTGGGGCTTACCTGGGAGAGGAGGCAGCAGGCACCCACCGTTTGGGCCAGCTCGGGCAGACTGCGGCGGGTGGGCGGGGCAGGCCTGGGGGCGGTGGGTAAGAGGCAGAGGTGGGGAGCCCAGTGCTGACTCCGCAGAGCCCAGGCCCGGGCCTGCTGACGGTGCACTTCCCAGCCGGCCACTCGGCGGCCTGAGCGCTCTCCTGGGGCGGCTGAGACAGGGTGGGCCGGCCAGCTCTGCCCTTCATGAAGGAAGAAGCAGGTGTGCAGGCAAAGGCAGGAGGCCGAGGGCAGAGGAAGCCCCTGCCAGCGACTCCAGGGCGGTTGGGGGATGCTTTGGGGGCTTCGGGGTGAGGGCATGTAGCGGCAGGTGAAAATCCAGGGCAGAGGTCACTGACCCAGTGGGGGGCCTGCTGGGGGAGAAGGCCTCCCCCTCCCCGCATTGCATTGGGTGGGAGCCAAGGGGGGACTCAAGGCACAATGAAGAACCCCTCAGAACTGGCTGGCTCAACCCTCATTTTCACCCAGGAAGCAGTTCAGAGGGTCAAGGGCATGCAGCAAGGACAACCCAGCGGGGCTGAGGCAACCAGGTCCTGAGCCTCTGAGCAGGTGGGAACTGGGGGAGGGGCGGGACTCGCCAAGGCTGACCCCCAGCCATTGATGTCGGGGTCTTTTGCGTTCTCGTATAAAAATGCAGGCTCCTGGGGCCCACAGAGGTAGACTCGCTGGGGTGCTTTTTATGTCTCCGACTTGAGAACCTCTGCTGCAGAGGTTGGGGGTGAAGTTGGAGGTCTGGGTTCAGACCCTGTCTCTGGCTTTAGGCTATGACCTTCCCCCTAGAATCCTGGGTCTCCATCTGTGAAATGGGTCCATGAGGCTTCACATGAAGTGCCTACTTACACGGAGCTGGCCCACGGAGGGGGCTCTGTCACCAGCGACCCAGACACTGGTCACGGACCAGCTCAGGGACAGTCGCATGTTCTGGCCACGTCTTGGTGGGTGGAGGGCAGGTCCGGGCAGCAGCTGATGTGCCGGGGGGGACGGTCTGCAGGGGAGGCTGTGCTCAGCTTGTCACGAGGACTCTTTGGTGCCTGTCCCTCGGCCTGCCAGAGCGTAGACGGGCCCTGAGAGCCCAGGCCTCACAGCCTTCATGAAACCTGGCCTCAAGCCCAGCCACCGATGTCACAGGGTGCAGACGGCCTGTGGTTTCTGGGGAGAGGGAGGCGGCGCAGGGAGGAGTGAACTCGGGCACGTAGGCCCCTGTGGGCTTGCGGGTCAGAGTGAACAGGAGACCACAGGCTGGGGGGCGGGGGCAGGAGCTGGGCGCCAGGAAGGAGGCATCCCTCAGGGGACCTCAGTCACCAGGTGACCGGGGCAGAGTGTGAGGGCACCGGGAGCCGCCCTGGGCTGTCCTGGAACGCCTAGGGGGACTCTGGGCTCAGATCCTGCAGTGAGCATCCTGAGTGGCCAGGATTGGGGCTGGTGACAGACGGCAGTCCCCTGTCCTGTCTACCAAGCGGCAGAAGGGGGTGCCTCCGTGCCACTCATGCTGAGCTTTTATTTGCTAGTCAGGAAGGTGGACAGGAGACTCATTGCTTTGGATTCAGAAAGTCGAGAGCAGAATGTTCCCTGGAGATGCATATGCAGAGTTAGAAGCAGCGCCGTGGGCTGAAGTCTCTCTAGTGCTCAGACCCCAGGCCCCACTTTAGTGGCACCAGTGTCCCCCCGCGGGGATTCCAATACACTGGCAGGTTGGAGGCCACGGCCCCACAGCTGCATGCGAATGAGGCCCCCGGGCGCCCTCGGCGTGTACCTGGGAGGCTGGTGGGGGGAGAAGGCCCAGGTGTTTGCGGACAGGTGCCTCCTGGGTGGAGAACCAATGGTCACGGTCACGTCAGGGCGAGGGGACTCCCCTGCCGCCTGGTGTCACGTGCCTGGGCTGGAGCATGCCTGCAGCGTGACCTTGAGCTGAGCTCAGGCTCTTGGCAGCTGCGCTGAAAGTCATAGCTCATTAACCCCGTGCCCGAGGCCAGGGCCACATCGGCCCTGAGGGCGCGGAGCCAGAGGGACGGCTCACAGGCGGCACCCCGAGCTGCTTCTGGGCCGCCAGGCGCCTCCCCTCCACCTCGGATCACAGGGCATTTGCGGCCTCTCAGTGCAGGGACAATCCTGGTGCAGGGAACACCAGGGTCTGCGGAGAATGTCGCCATGACCCTGGGCAAGTGGTCTCTCTCCTCTGGCCTTTGTCCTTCCTTGAAGACAGTGCGTGGCCAGCACCTGGGCTCTGCAAGTCGGTTGTGATGTCTCCAAGATGACTTGTCAGGCTCCTACTAGATGTGAGAAGGTAAAACCACGCCGCAGGAAGGGGGAAACTGAGGCCGAGGGGGCTAAGTTTCATGGAGCCAGGGTGCAAGGTCAAAATCTCGTGCAGCCAGTTACCCTCAAGCTCCCCCAGCGGCAGTAAAGCATGGTGCCCCGCTTCATGCACACAGGCCTGTGCATAAACCCAAGCAATACAGAAACGCAAATGCCCAGGAACATGCCAGGAGCACACCCAAACTGCTCCCCGGCCCTTTCCTCCCTCCCTCCCCGGCCCCTCTGACAACGTGACTGAAGCTGCCAGCTCCTGGCAGGAGCCGCAGTCCAGCCTCGGTTACACGCAGTCTTTATTCTCCGCCCAGAACTTACCTTCACTCAGTCAGGGGTCACCCGCTGGGGCCTTGAGAAAGGTGCGTGCAGTTCTCCTTCCTGAGACTCAGAGTTCCAAAGCGGGCGGGTTTGAGAACCCCAGTGGGCAGGGTGCAGTGGCAGAGTAGGGGCTGGTTCACACTTGTTAGGGTCCCCCCAGGTGACGATGAGGCAGGGCTGACCAGGACAGAGGCACCCATGTCTTCCACTGCTGGGGAAAATGCAGTCCCCGGGCTGACCTCTGCCCTTCGTCCGGGCCCCGCTGGCGAGGCCGGATGGCCAGCATTCAGCAAACAGTGGGTGGTAGGGAAGGGGAGACGTACAGATGAGACACTCCAGACTGAAGATAAAGCCCACTCACCTTGGGGGTCCCCCGGCCCGGCCCTACACCTCCATCAAGGCCCCAGGCTCAGGGCAGCCTTCCAGGAGGCCGTGGACCCTGCAGTGACTGTTGTTGCTAAGCCGGAGAAAAGCCCCTCTCCGGGCTGTGAGCGAGGGGGCGGCTGCTCTGATGTCACCAGAAAGCGGCTCCCGTCAGGCCTCAGTCAGAGAGCACCCCTCCCCTGGTAGAGTGTCTGGGCTGCAGCAGGCGTTTTGTAAATGACAGAACTGTCACGTGCCGGCAGCCGGGGGAGTACTCGGTGGGGGGCACCCTCCCTCCCTGGTGAGCCTTGTCAACAGCCTTATGCTAACAGTAGTGCCCACAGCCCACGAACTGACCTGCCCTGCCACCGAAACGACAGACAGCAGTGGGTGCGTCCTGTCGAGCTGCCACCGAGTCCCAGGCCATTTCGGAGGCAGTTCTGCGGCAGCTGGACGACTGGGTTCCGGTCCCCACGGGCCGCTTACTGGCCACGGGGCCTGGGGAACTCCCGTTGCTCCTCTTGGCCTCTGGGTGGACTTCCATGAAACCAGGACGACGGCAAAAGGGCCGACACCCGAGTGCTCAGAGCAGCACAGGTGGCCCCAGGCGCGGTGCAGCCCATGATGCAGGGAGAGGCGCTCTCTGAAGATGTCCCGTTCTTCCAACTCGCCCACAAGCAACGGAGACCCATCTCCAGGTTGAAGGGCTTCCGTGCTCGCTCAGGAACAGAAGCAGCATTTGAGCCACTATCTGGTCCACTGAGAAGTGCACGGTCAGTTCTGGAGCTCTGCTGCCCCCTAGGGTTTGGGGCGGGAATCAGACCCAATGCAGGTCAGTGGGGCTCCCCACCTGGGAACCTGGCACCCACCTGGGAAACCGGCCCGGCACCATCCCACTGGGGAGCCAGCCTCCACCATCTGTTTCTTTCCGTGTCTTTTCCTTGAGGCCTTGGGCAAGTCGGTGCAGCCTCGCTGAGCCTCAGTTCCTGCATCTGTCAAATGGGTTAAGAGGCATAGCATCCACTCTGCAGAGTAGCACAAGGGTTACATGATGTGTTTTTTTGTTTGTTTGTTTTTAATATATTTTATTGATTTTTTACAGAGAGGAAGGGAGAGGGATAGAGAGTTAGAAACATCAATGAGAGAAACATCGATCAGCTGCTTCCTGCACACCCCCTACTGGGGATATGCCCACAACCAAGGTACATGCCCTTGACTGGAATCGAACCCGGGACCCTGCAGTCCATAGGCCGACACTCTATCCACTGAGCCAAACCAGTCAGGGCATGTGTTTTTTTAAAGGCACCGACCCCACCACCAGGGTGGGTGCCATCTTCACCTCCTGGATGAGGCAGCCCTTCCAGGAGCAAGGACTTCCAAGGGGGCCTAGGCCAGATGTTCTGGTCTTCCTCCGGGTCTCCCCACAGCCCCCCCCCCCCCGAGCTTCATCTCGGCACAGGTCCTCTGGGGACTTGCCTCGGCTGTTCGTGCGAAAAGGTCCCTCGGTGGATTCTGAGGCTCTGCTGATGCCCTGGCTGGGAGCAGGTACCGGGGGAACCGGGGATGCCCCCCCCATTATGGAGTGACTCTGCACAGTGACGCACCGGCTGGTGACCTGATCCCGGCGTTTCCCACTGTGATGGACACCCCACTCGGTGGACCTCACCGCAGGACCAGGGCCTCTTGCCGGCTCCAGGAGGGGTGACGTACCCCTAAGGTGCAGCCTTGCCCTGTCCCCAGGCACTTGGGTGCAGGGAGGGGGGCCTGGCGCCCTCCAGTCTGATGGCTCTCAGTTAACACAGGGCTGCTCACTCCATTTCTGGCCCCATCACCCCCCTGCTGGGCCCCCCTCAGGTGATGCAAGGGGAGGAGCCCCAAAACGATTCACTGAAGGGGAAGCTTGCTGGGGGCTGGGGGGCAGAGGAGACAGTGCGCAGCTAGTTTCATTGAAAGGAAGGCCTCCAATGAACGCCCCTCACAAGTTTCCCTTCTCTGCCGGCTCAGCCTCCTTTCTGGAACATCCTTCTCCGCTGTCTGGACGCCCAGCAGCCTCTCCCATGTCTGACATGCAGTCAGGGGAGCAGGAGCAGGAGCGGGTGCAGCTCCAGCGGGGCACTGAGTGCTCTGAGCCGTGCCCCAGGGAAAGCCGGGGAAGCCGTGCAGGCAGCTGAGGAGCAGGGGCCGG